TCTGGCTCCTGAACCCAGCTTCTTCTGAACAGGAAATCTGTCCCACTGTTTTTCCTCCATTACCTCCATGAATTAGCTTTTTAAAAAATATAATTGTAGTCTAAAACTATCCAACTCAAAGTAACAGAGGTGTGTGTGAACAGATCTGTGGCATAGCCCATCCAGCTCTTGATACTGGAAGCACAGTCTTGTTTCACATTCTCCAAGTACCTTCTGTCCTGAGGCTTAACTCTGTGTTGCTGAAGACCGGCAGCTCTCACTGCAGTTACCTCTCAAATTCAGGTTTTGAAGGAAGAAAAGAGTCAAAACTGAACTGGCCACCTGCAAGCTACACACTGTGAAAAGCTCTGTGTTGTGTGGCTCATGGCCCACTGTACAAAGCAAAAATCACGTGTAGCTGATTGAAAGACTGTGGTGATAGAAAATGAGCAGAACTCTGCCCTTTTTGCAAACATGAGAGGTAGATTCAGGGTAACTGCAGTGAAGTTGTAAGAATTGGTAAGGTAAGGCTGGTTGAAGGGCAGAATCTGTACTGCTAGATCTTTAATTTTGCAGTTCTGAGAATTTTGAGCTAAAATATCTCTCCAAAAGACTTATGAAATAGCCAGGAAGTAAATGAGAAGATAGTTTGACTCAATTTATAGAACCTGTTGCATAGAGTATAGTAAATAGCAACCTGTTGCATAAAGTATAGTAAAATTTTGCTCTATTTTTACACATAACCATCTGCAGCAGACCATCTTGCTAAATCTTGACTTCCTAACGACAAAGTATCATATTTTTGTTCCATTTAATTCAAGCAGTTTTATCATTATTTTTCATGGGACAAGGCTTTGGTTTTCAATGTTGTGATCCTACCTACCTGAGAAGGGGAAGGTGGTATCCTGGGCATGCAGGACTTTTGTGTTAATGGTAGCAATGATACTATTTGTGGAAAAGGATCAATGTCCACCCTTGGTCTCTCTTGGCACATGTGCCAGAGCTTCAGTGTTGCACTGGCAGTGTCTATTGCTGTTGAATGAGTGACACAAAATCTGGGACCCCTAGGGAAAAAAAAGTTAATCATTAGAAGTTTCCCAGAACATGGAATACTGGGCTATTTTGCTGCTTCTTTTTTTTTTTTTCCCATGATGGTGTTTACTGTATCAAGATATTGTGTTATATGCATCTAGAATTAAAAATCAGTTAGTGTTAAAGCTAAGTTTAGACATTGCACTCTTCCAAATCTAAAACCAAGAAACACATAAACAAACTTAGGCTGCAAATTCTGCACCATTACATAGTTGCCTTTGTATGAGTCTGCAGTAGGATATGCTCCATCCATCCTACAGCAATGAATCGGAAAGGATTGTAGGTCACAGGACATAGACCACAACTCTCATGAGGCTCCACAGCAAAGTTCACAATTGCAGGTATTTGTTTATGCCTGCAATTTGTTGATCCACCCTGGGGAGGAGAGAATACCTTCAAAAATTTAGCTTATGTTTTGGAAACAGGTTAGAATTTGTATCCTCGCTTAAGCTATCCATACGTAAAAAGCATTTTATATGACAGACATTGAACAGTAAAATCTCAGGGTCAAATTCCACATAGGTGTATACACGGAGCATCCTTGGAAACTTGAGAAGGGCAATATGGGGAATAGGTTAGGACAGAATTAACCTCCTATGCCTGGAGGGGTTCCTCTACCTGCAGCCTAAAGTTTAGTTGAGTGGTACCCAAGGCAGCTATACACAAAGTAACTCAGATGCTCTGGCAGTAAAATAACAAGGGCTCAGTAAGGCAGATCTACCTGGCTTCTCAGCAGATTGCAGTGTAGTTTAGGCTCAACTAAAAATTCAGAGGTAACATCTGCTAATATTTATGATGACATTGCTTCCCATAATTGCAATGGGATAAGTGAGGTGGAATAAACCTAATAGGCTTATCAAAGAAATGGGAAATTTGTTAAACAATAGAATCTTAGTTCATGTTCATTTTTTCATACCAGTAAAGAAGTAGAGGTTTCACTGCTTCAGGCTGAATCCATCTTAAATGCTTTATATTCCACTGATCTCCATGCAGTAGATCAAGTCTGAGTAACACTTCTGAACCGAGGAAATAGTCCCCACTGCTCAGCAGATACAGTTTTTTCATCTTACTGAGTTGCCTTGAGTCAACAAAAATAGTCACAGAGCATGTATCAGATGCTGTACAGAATCAAGCACAGTTCAACCTACTGGTTAAACTACTGTCATGCAACAAGTTTTTAATTGCAAGTGGCAGAAGCCAAAACAATTTTTCTGCAAATTAGAGATAAGTTGTCTATAAGATAAAATGTACAGTGCCTTAGAATAGACAATCTGAATCCAGGAGAGCCTTTCATTAAAGCAGTTTGTCATACTAAATGCCCTACTTGTAAATTTAAGTTCTTTTATTCTTTTTTTTTCTTTCTGTTGCCATCTGTTTTTCAAATCTCTTTCTAATGAAGCGTTAATAGTCGATTAATACAGAGATTCTGACTTTATGTAAGTTTTGAAAACACGACTCTGCAAGAAGAGTTTTATCAGCTTCAGCAGAGTCATTCCTGACTTACCTTGTCACAACACTCATGATTACTTTAATTGTGCCTGTTCTATTAAAACTTTACAGTTTATTCTGAAGTCTCAAAACCTGCATTGATCTAACTGCATTACAAGTATTAAAACAATGGGAATAACTGTTAGATAATGGGAAGTACCTTTGCTGCCCTATAGTGTCCTTAAGGGCCTTTAGTCTTTCAATATCCATCCAGAGCCACCAGTACCTCTCCCCAAGTGTTCCTTTAATGAACTTCTTGAATCTTTCAAACTGGTGTCTGTTGCCAGTGTCATAAGTCTTGTGACTAATACACCAGGCAGCCCTACTGTCTGCCCCATCACTTTCAGAACTTGATTTTAGGCTTATTTCTTCAGTATCTTGTTCTCTTACATCTCCCTTGAAGTTCAAGACTGTAAATGGAGAAGAACTTTGGGAAAAGAGTGATTCTGCAGTACCACGGGCAAATTCATTATTTGCTAACTCTTGTATAAACACTTCAGGCTGTTTGTGGAAATCCACATCACTCTCAATGTGAGCAGCTGGCTGGTGGGTCAGTTCTGAAACAGGTTCCTTCATTAGAAATTGAGTATAAGCTGGTATGAATTCTTCTGGTGTTTGAAAAGTTGTGCTTTCCTGTCCATTTTTTTCTTTTGCTGCACTGTCCCATTTCGAGTCTAGATAAACTCTTAACTGAGTGTGGGAAGGAGGTTCAGCAATGGTCACAGAAGACCGCTCCTCAGCCTCTCTGGATCTTTCCTTCATAATGTCGGCTTTTGCTGATGCTGTCTTTGAAGAGGAAAGGAAGCTCCACTGGTGGCATTCCTTAGACAGGGAATCTGCTTCTGCATTAAATCAGAAAAGATCATTGAACACCCTTTTGATTCAGGACTGTTCTCTTGCATATCAACATTTCCAAGTTAAAAAACGCAACGTATTTATATTGTGCTGCTGCAGAACAATCAGGGTATGTCATGCTGCAGAGCAGGGAATAGCAGAGGTGCTTCTGCTGTTGCTTATCTGGCTAGAAACTCAGCCCCGTGACTCAGAAGCTCATTCCCTGTTGAATTCCTGCAGAGCAGCAGAGTTCAGGAACAACTCCCTCTGGAGCCAATTGTCTTGTTTACTCAGCTGAGCATCCCATCTCCTCAGCACTTGTTAAACCACCTCGTCCTGCAAGGCCTGGTTTCTTCCTGAGCATTTGGTCATAGTTTGATCAAAGTCACAGTGTATAGCAGGATTGGGTTTTGTTTAGGCCTGATGAAACTAGTAAGTGATAATTCCTTGTCTACTTATGTTGATTATTGCAAAAGACTGAAACATTGAACAGGCCTCTGTCAGTTGGGTAAAATCTTGACATACATAGAAGGACAATAAAAGAAATTATTATGTCAAGGGTTCTGGAAACATTTAACAATCCTGTAATTCAGTCTGCCACCCAGAAATGGCTCCTTTCCATTTAGAGCTGTTTTATAACTAACAAGTTCAGAACAGTGACCAACCCTGTTTTTTTCATCTGTGCTTCTCTACTTAATTCCTTTTACCCAACTCCTCATCGTCCCCATGCTATTAAGCATGCCCTGCCATCCTGGTCTGCTGAGAAAGAAACTTACTGCTTTAACTTTCTAAAATATCTCTCCTACGTCTGTCAGACTTTTAGCAAATTGAGTACTTCTAGAGCATGTTAGCAAAGATGACCTTGACTATACATACTGCTTAGCTGGGTTAATGCTGCTGTCACTGTACCAGTCAGTCCTGTAAAACTGAACAGAATAACTACAGATATTGTGAACAGCAGCAGAATATAAGTGAAAATAAGAAAAAACTAAGTCATAATTCAGTTGTGGCTCTACAATATCTTCATATCAATCCAGTGTTTAAACTGTAGAATAAACTGAATCTTCTGTATTTCCCTAAAGCTAAGATGCTAGCTTTCATACTCTATTGTATCACTAAGGCAAAACATCGTCAGTGAGGAGGCTGCTACAACCTCTGAGCACATGCAGTACATCAGGCTGTGGTAGAAAAAGGCTAAATCTCTCAGAAACACTAAATTCACATTTGCAATGTTACCAGCCTGCGTAACCCTCTATGGTGGCCTAGTCAATAAATGGCAATGGCAGTTAGACATTCCTTCCATCTTCCTCTGAAAATAAGCCACGCCTAACCAGTGCTGGTCACTATCACAGGCACTTGGATTAGGTACATGGCATAGAGATTCCCTGCTCTGCATTTACGTAGTTTCATGTGTAAGTACATATGTCACAATATATTGACATTAATATAAAAATCAGTGTGATTTAAAATATCTTTTCTTATTTTTAAACTATTATTTCAAATGTTTTCACCTGACAAAGAAAAATTATAGCTTCTCAACACAGTTCTGTGAAATAGAAACACAAGGAATGATTTCACAGGACCTAAGGCAATTAGCGAGAGAGATACACAGCTCTTGAGTAATCAAAAGCCAAGTGGCTCAGGGTTTTGCTGAAGACATAATCGATAACCCTGATCCAACTGAAGCAGTAAGCAAGGAATACAATCTGGATTGTCCAAGCAAATACCTTCAACTATTGAACTCTTTCTAATTGCAGGCTGGCTCTGAGAAACTTTGCTGATGTTGTCTATTGCTTCCAGTGCCTGACCCGTACACCAGGGGAATACTGTGCCTAAAAATGCTTTCTGACTGAAAGAATGCTGGATTTCCCATGAAATAAGCATAAAGAGAAGTAATAAGCACATGCAAAATGAAGGTCTACATTATAAAATAAAGTTTTCAGTGAGAAGATGTAAAATATTCATCGAGACAAAACGCTGTTGACCTCAGGACACCTGCAGCAAAAGAAGAGGACAGAGAGGCTTTCCACAGGCCTATGCCCAGCCCACTGCAACACAGAGCTACACAGCTTTGCAAGAATGGTGCCTTTGTACCTCTCTGCTCAAAGCACTGCAAAAATTAGTGGTAAGAGTCATGAACTATGAACAAGTGTGACTTGAATAACTTCATTAATAGTCCATGCATCAACAATATATTTCCTGGGCTGATCCTCATGGGTTTGGGGAAGAAGACAGACTTCTGGAGTTACCATGTCTTCCAATTTTCCATTTAGCCATTGGACTCCGAGGTCTCAGCAGTACAAGTCTCAAAGTGGAATGGCTGCTTTTTCCTTTGAGAATGGGGGAGAGAGAACTCCTAATATATAAGCTGAGACTTCTCTGTTCAACTTGCTCCTGCCTACAGAACCGAAGCAAGGCTATGCAATCAGGTATGTCTGTATCTGTATGTTCTCTCCCAGTACCTTTGAAACCTGCTAAGTTAAATTTGACAGATAGACAGGACTGTTGTAAATTATTACGTTCTATAAGATTCATAAAAATTGGCAGCCAAAAGGCCTTTAAGTGCCCAACATAAATACCCTAAGAAGATGGCTGCAAAACAAATCATACATTATCAAATACCCAAAGAATCCAGACAAGAAAGTCTTTCAAAACATATCAAATGGAAAAAAAAAACCTCTCAGCTGAAACTTACAGATATGTATGAGACAGAAATATGTAAGAAAAGAGGCTTCTACTGTCACAAAATTACTTGGCTACTAGCTCAAATTTTCGTTTAATGTTGTGCCTATGGAAAGAAACAAAGCCCCATCTGAAGCCTAAGATACCATGTGATACTCTGAAGGTAATAAGTGGAGTTAGCAGTAATTCCTTGGAATACCTTTTCTTTCCACCTAGTCAAAGTTGTATTATAAATACTATGGCTGAGCCTTTGTTACTTACCCAGAAGGCTATCTTTTTCACTTAATGAATTGTCTCTTTCATGCTGCCCAGGCAAACACTGAATATCTTGAATTTGACTAGAAGCTACAGGATACATAAATGAATCTGTAGTTTTCATGGATTCACTTCGTTTTGCTAATGTAAACCAATCCTTTGTCTGTGAAACCGTAGCCTAGGAAAAGAAATGTCATAGAATAATTCAAATTTCTCTATTTATTGCAGTGTTTCTGAGAGCAGAGTGCTTACTGCCTGTAGTCATTTTGTGCAGTCTGTTTGTGTAGATTTCTGTAATGATAGTTCCCAGTGAAGAGAGCTGTATGACAGTAGCTGAGCATACTTGCAACGCAGCTTCTGTTTAAGCTGTATTACAACTCATCAACCTTCTTCTGTAGTACAAAGAGCTTTGAAAATAAGGGATATTCAGAGAATCAGCTGTCCAATTAGGTTGTGACCTCAGTTACACTAATTTAACCCAATGCATTCAATCTATCTTGGTGTTACACCCACTAAACATGTTTATTTCACCTGGCCAAGTGGTATGTAGAACTTCTTCATAGTCAACGAAGTGCCATCCTCCTCAGGAGGGGGAGACCTTGGGTCTTGCTTCCTTACCCAGGGGTAGTAGTCACTGTCTATAATGAAATTAATGCCAGTCTTGCTCCATTCTACCTGCGATATCAATTTAGCTAGCCTGAAATTAAATGTTGAGACAAGAAAATAGTTAATTTTAGCTTTTAATCAGAGAAACAGTTGATTTTTCCCCAGAATAGGCAATAAAAAAACACGATCAATCTAAAAATAAATTGCTACAGAGAACTTCATGATCTACTGTATTATTTCAGCCTTCACCTGCTGTCACATATGTAAACGCCAGTACTGCCATTCCACAGTCCACCAGCTTTACAGATGGTAGCCTGCTTTGCATTATCAAGCTTTACCAGTAAAACTGATACCTGTCAGGATGATCTTTCATGTATCTATGCAGTCCTAAGCCCTGCCAAGAAGCCCTTGAACATTCTGATCACTAAAATGGAACTGTTCTCCCAGGTTGCAGAAGCCCTGTATCACCACCAAACACTACATTTCTTGTTCCTGATACAAGCAATCATCCAGCAGTGATGCCCCAGCAGTGATCACACTAATTGAACTTTCAGGTGGTAACAAGACAGCTGGCACTATCATGTTCAGCTGGCTGCTGTATGAGGACTTCATGGTACTGAACAGCACTCCAGTGCTACCTTGAGTTAGTGTGAACCTCACGATGTTCAGGAAAGGAAATCTTAGAACCACATGAACGATAATGAGGATGCTCTGGGCTCAAGAACTGGGGTAGAACTTACTTCAGTTAGAAAGCAGTACAAAACCAAACAAGGTGCATGTGAAAGGAAGACGAAGCTTATGCCTGAGCTTATGACCATGAGTGAATGCCCAGTTTCCTTTGTCCCCACTATTTGAGGGCAAATAGGATTTCATTCTAGGGTTAGGCTATCTTCATCTTTAAACACAAATTTCCCATTTAGCATCTCAGCTTATCTTGATCCCGATTCAGGAAAGCAAGTTAAACCACTGATGTCAATGGAAATTAGATACACGCTTAAAGTTAGTTTTACGTATTTCTCTTCGGTAACTCTGCTTGATCAAAGAAATACTTTGCTATAGCAGAAGATGAAAGTTAGTGTTTCATGAGGCCCAGACACATTTAAAGCAGGCTGCTAATAAAGGTGAAATGGAGCACTCTTTCATGGTTTGCTTGTTCTTTGTGCAGTTTTCCCCTCAAATTTAAGTGCAGTCTTCAGGATACTGAAAGTTAAAAGTATTTTGAATTTTTTAATGTAGAAGTCCATACCCCAGTAACTAGTCTGTTTTACAATCAGCAAACATGAGTTTTGCGAACCATACTGCCAGGCTGCCTTTCCTTTTAGGACCCCTGAAACACACTACAACTATCAGCACGTAGACACAACCTTAAGGGTGTAGAAGCAGAGCCTCCCAAAAAGCACACTAAATCTCCTGAACATCTGCTGAAAGGACATCTGGAAAAATACAGCAAGTGTTGAACAGTAAATCATCCAACTATGCCACAGCATCCCACAGAGAACCTTGCAAAAGGAAGTCTGACAGCAGGCCCAAAGACACAAAACTAGTAATTGAAATAAAAAGGACTGGTTGTTTTTTCCAAATAGATTTCATGGATTCATGACTTCCACTTATATGGCTTACATATTAATTAGAGAAAGATGCTACCAGGATATCTCTGTGGGATAGAGATTCAGAAATCAGCAAACGCCACTCTTACTCTCTTAGCAATTGTGTAATATAGTATGTAATTCATGATCAAGGAAAATCACAGAACGATGAGTGAAAAAAGTCACTGATTTTACTTTATCCAGGTCGCTAAAATGCTATAATTAAACAAACGGGACTAGAGATGGGAGAAAACATAGTAAGGGTACTGTCAAGATGAATTCAACAGAAGAGAAAAATGTACAAATTTAAAACTGAGAGACAGCATAAAAAATTGCAATACCTGTATTCAAAGTAACAGTCGCTTCTTAGAAATGCTGGAAGCCTTTCTTTCTTAATCCACTGAATTGCTTGTTCTCGATCAAGACACTATTAAAAAAGAAATGCCAAAGATTTGCAGCATTCTTGACTTTCTTGTTTTGTTTGCCATTCTCTCCATCCCCCTTCTACAGAAACATTCTCTCAGGAAGACAAATACACAGTGAACATCACCTTTCTAATCCAGTTTAGCCTTAATCATGCTGAGACAATGGAGTTAATTTACTTTCCTATTAACAGCTAAAAAGGTCTAAATCTGATCTCACCTATAAGAGTACAATTTTTTTAACAAATCATGTGTGGGTTTTTTTCAGAAATAATGTGTATATGAATCATGATTTTACTGTACAATTCCAAATGCAAATTAGATGCTCATAAATTTTCTGCAATAGGAAACTTCTATTTTTTCTGACTTCATCACATTTTGTAAATAACCACTATTACATTTTTCCTCAAGAATTTAAAGAATAAGGAACCCTTAAATTAAATTGTACTCTCAGAATGAAAGAGCTGTGGATATTAAAAACAAAATCAAACAAATAAAAAGCCAATCAGTTATCACCTTTCCCACTTTTATGTTGGAGCATTGCATAACTGCATTGCACACAGTAACTCTTAGAGTGGAAACCTAAGTGCATTATGAATCGGGCCCATAACAGATTTCTGCTCAGGTGGTCTTAGCCCCAGTGCCTTGTCAAGGCAGAAGAAGTACCTCCAAAGAGTGGTTTCGGGAGCGAAAGGGAGGTGTTGAGCAGCGACCTACACAGAGCCAGCTAACCAAAAAAATATGCCTCGAGTCTTACACAGAGCAAGATCTCTGACTATGGGCCACAGTGATCTGTAGCTGTTTCCCTTAGAAATGACACACAGCACATTTTTTAATACTTTTTATTAAGATTGTACTTTTTCCACTTTTAGGGAATGACCTGTTCTATTTATCTATCTGAGGTGCATTTTTCCTTTTAGTGAAAGTGAGACTGATGATTTGGAAGAATGTAGTAAATCCTCTTGTCCGTAAAAACAGGTGAAGTTTGGGCAAGGATGGATACTACTTGCTATATCAAATAATCAGTTTATGTAGATTACATTTTAAATTTTCTTTCCATGAGCTAATATTCCATTAGGGACAAAGGTTATTTCTGCCTCATATATATCTGTGGGGAATTAAAAAAATCTGAATTACTCAGAAAGTGGGTGGTTTCATTTAGAGAGAAGAAAATATTTCAAAATATGGAAAGCTTATGTTGGCAGTGGCTCATACAATGTAATTTGTGGAGATGGAGACTAATTACTCCCAACCACACAGTCTATGCCTCTTTTTGGTAACTGACAAGCTTTTCTGAAATACAGAAGATCATCTCTTTATTTTGGCATTTAATATTTATGTATCTACTGACTCACAGCCCAGTTTTTAATCTGAGTGATTCATAACATGTTCACATCTGTACATGGCAGGTACACAAAATTATATATACTATCAGAAGGAAAGAACCTCTACTCTTTCC